CATCCCCAGTGGAGATGTGCAGGAGGCAGCTGATCGATGTTTCTCTCTCATCGATGTTTCTAACTCTCTATCTCTCTCCCTTCCTCTCTGTAAAAAATCAATAAAATATATTTTTAAAAAAATAATAAAAAAAATAAAATAAATAGACACACTAGCTAAAAAACAATTTCTCAGTCAAGTTAAAAAGTAGTCAAATAAAAGTACTTTTAATTTAGTATGTAGTGTTTGTTTCTGATACTTTTAAGAGAAATCAAACTAGTTCCTTTTCACACGAATCCATTTGAGGGAAATAAATGATATGATACTGCACTTAACAAAGTCTTTCCTATCAAAATAAAAGCACCAGAGTTCTCTTCCTAGTTTTCAAGCATCACCCAAATGGACAGTGATCAGCTCACCCACAGAGAGGAGGCGCCAGGAGACGGCGGGAGTGGCAAAGCAGGCAAACACGTCGTCCGTGCAGGAGAGGTGGGTGAGGTGAGGCAGGACCACGGACTGGCCCCGGCACTGGCCCCACATGTACACGTGCCCTCCCTGGGTCTTGGCGGCAGATGTGTGGGCAGAGTGGCAGGCTGCAATTTCTATAATTCTAAATTCACAAACACCAAGTAAACACAGTAAACAGAAGAAGAAATGACTTTATCTCATCTCCCCTTAGGTTTGATTTCAAAACACAAAACAAAATAAGTTACATATCTAATCTAGATTTTCAGGCAGTACAGGTATTTACATCGAAGCTATACTTCAATGCACTTATAACTCATGAAGACCTTATTACCACTTCTAGCCAGCTGGCTTATAAAAACATGTACCATCCCATTTTGAAATCCAGTACAATCCAAGAGAGTAAAGACAAAAAAAGAAAGGGGGAAAAAAGGTGATATAACTTTTTATTAAAATGTTACTCACTGAAGTAGATAATAAAAGCTAGAACCATCTTAACACAGGTTCAAAAAGTATTTTCATCAAAACATCACCAATTTTAGAGTTAAATAGAGCATGCTGTAAGTCACCACAACTCACACTTCGAACAGTACATTCAGTAGTGATACCTCACTGGACTGTGTCATCTAGAGCCCAAGTGTGCAGTTTTCTGGGACCCACCTGTGTGAGACCCTGGTGCAATAGGCTCATGACTGCCAGGGAGGCAGTTCTCAAAACACTTCCTAATAGAAAACACTATTTTTGTTTATTTGGAAGCAATTACTTTGCTCTAAGAACAAGCCACCATACAGATTCAAAGAAGACAGTAAACTATTTTACCCCAAGTGAGGCGGTCATCTCGGGTTTGCTGCGGCACAGGCAATGGGATCAGCATCCTCAGTAACTCAGAACCTCAGAGTCATCTTTGGCTTCTTCTCCCTCCTCACCTACCACTTCCTTCAGAATATCCACTTGACAGATAACATAGTCCCTTCGTAATTTCCCCCATCGGCCACCACCCTCAGTCAGACACACCCCACGTCTGGACCAATGGAACAGTCTCCTAGGTCTCTGCCTTAGAACTTCTCTCTCCGCTGACCCAAATTGCACAACACCGGCAGGTTAATAATCCTCTTGAAACACCATTCTCACCAGTACTTTCAAACCTTCAGTGATTTCCCACAAGATAAAACCCAGACAAGTGACATCAAGGCCTTCCATAATTTGGCTTCCACCCATGTCCAACCTTCTTTCAAATGACTTTTGCCCACACACCCTATGTTCCAACAAACAGAGGTACACACTGCCCCTCAGTGTCTATATTCACAGTTCAAGTCCTTATTCAGAAATGTTCTTTCCTTTCTCTTTGCCTCAGAAATCCTACCCATCCTTTAAGGTTCAGTTCAAACAGCCAGGAGGTAAGAGGTCTCTCGCTCACCTAAGCTCTTGCAGTACTGCCTGTCCACACCAGCCGGCCTGTCCACACCAGCCGGCCTGACCCAGTTACCTTTCAGGTGGATATGTCTTAGTTAGATTACAAGTTCCTGCCAGGTTGATTCACTGGCTTATTTCTCTCTCCCTAAGCACCCACTACGTGTCTTACTAAATATAATTTGTAGATCATTTTATTGACTAATTGGGAAAGAGTCAACAACACAGAACAACTGAAGATTGGACAAGCCCACATTGACCAAGGCTAGCAATTGAAGGGTGGAGATATTCCTCCACTGTGTGCTTTAACTAGAGGTTCCCCAGTCCAGGAGGATGGTCCTCGCACAATCTGGAGATTGCTGTGGCGGCTTCCCTCAGAAGGCTGAGAAATATTCTTTTCATGTGCAGCCCAAGTAATTCCCCTGATTTATTAGAAGGTAGCTCTCAGCTCTTGAAAACAACCCAAATACTGGAGGAGATGAGGCTGTATGTCGCAGAGTGGGGAGCCTGGATGTGGAGGTAGGTTTGAATGCTAGCTTTACCACGAGGCTGTGTGACTGGGAATGTCCCTGAGATCTACGAGTCTGTTTCATCACATTGCAAGGCCACTATGTGCAAATTAAGTGAGAAAATGTTAGGCCCAGGGGGTGGAGTGGGGTGGAGGGGATCAATGAGGGAAAAAGGGGGATATCTGTAATACTTTCAACAATAAAGATAATTTTTTTAAAGAAAAACATTAAGCCCCAAGCGCGTGACTGGTGTACAAATGTAGCCTAACAGTAGAGGTTTCTCAATATTACTACTTCTACTCAGCATTTTAAGTGCCAAAGCCTCATGTGTGTAGAGAATGTGTATTTCTAATGGTCAATTCAAATTAGTAAGGCCTTTCCTATTTACATGGTTAAGTTAGTCAAATTGGCTCAAATCAAACCTCGCCTACATGGGGAAAATGGTCAATACTATTTTGCTTCTCAATAAGAATTTTTTTTCAAAAAATAAAGAAAAAGGGCAAATAAAATAAATACATTTATTCAAAGAAAGTGAATTTACTACTACCATCCATCTACCCTCATGTTACAACTACATATGAGAGGAGCAATAATTCACTTAAAATGGCTTGGTGCAGTAGGCAAAACATGGGCTGGAAGTCAGAGGCCAAGTACTTAAACTCTTATAATCCATTTTATCATCTTAAAAAAGAGAAGTGGAGGCTTGTGGTGAAGATAAATGAAGTAATCTACCATCCCAGTGCACATTCAAAAATGGTTCTTATCGGAAGTAACAGTTGCTTCAAGCACAATGGGGTCTGCCCGGAAGAGCTCATGGCTTAGCTGAAGAGAGAAGGAGCATATCTGTGAAACTGCAAACAGTTCCCAGATAACATCATAGCACCGCCTACAAGTGCTCTGGTGAGTAAGGGGAAATACCTGGGGTCTCCTCAGGGAGTCTTTAAAGTAAAAGGGGGTAAGAAATACATGGACAAATGTGTAGGCATAGGGTGAAGAAGGTTCAACATTAAGAGGTCCTACCTGGCATAGACAAGCAACTTTGGGGGAAAATGACATTTGCTAGGAACAATCTTAGAACCAAGGCTGAAGGGTTTAGAGTTGATCTGATGTGATAGACAAGTGGGAAACAGCTGTGTAAACAGAGCCATGATAGGATGAAACAGAGTTCTTAAATTACTCTGGCAAAAGTGTGCACGACAGGCTGAAAGGGAGAGGAAGAATAGCCTAGAAGGTGAGCTGGGAAAGGCTGATGGATGTGCAGATGTCATGTCCCAGCATGGTGCCAAGGAAGAACCCGGGTGGCCTTTGATATTGTGGGAGTTCAGGGCAAGTCACCCCAAGATGTGCTTCTATGGTATGCAGATTGTTTTGAGCTAAAGGCCACCTTAGCCATGGGCTCAAGAGAAATTTCTGCCCCTCCCTGAACTACCTAGAATAACTTGAATTAGGAGCCTTTTTTAATTGAGATTTAGAGAGAGGAAAGTAGAAGAGGAGAGAGACATGGATGTGGCAGCGGAACATCGACCAACTGCCTCCTGCACACCCCCTATTAGGGATCAAGCCCGCACCCTAGCATGTGCCCTGACAGGGAATTGAACCAGCAACCTTTTGGTGCACAGGAGGATGCACTGGCCAGAGCAGAGATAACCTCTTTTGATCTATCTATAGGGCAGGACAGACTTCTATTTACTAAACGTCTGCTCTTCTTATCATCCCGCAATGACCCTTTGAAGCCCCCAAAGCACCTTACCTCATCCTAGCTCAGGATGTCTCATATACCCATGTTCCCTTCTATTTCTGAACCTTGCATGTATGTAAATTCTCTGACTGTCTCAGTATGCGGGGTCCCCATACATATGTATGTATTAAATTTGGTTATTTTCTCTTGCCAATCTGTCTCATGTCTATTTGATTACTATACCAGCCAGAAGAACCCTGAGAGCAGAGGAAAGTTTGCTCCTGCCAGATAGTATCAATGAGAGGAAGCAGAGGCCTGAGTCTAAGAAAACACCAACCTGGCAGTGTGGAGGGAGGGGGCCCAGTGCTGGTCAGATGGCAGGATGGGGGCTCAACATACAGATATCTGAGCAGTTAACAAAAGAAAAAGGCCTTCTACATTTTATCTACTTTAGTTATAAAGCAACCCGATAATCTCTGGGAGAAGGGGAGGTTAGAACAGCCCAAAACTGTTTAGATAAATATTAATTAACTACTCTGTTCTCATCACATGTAATCACTTCCACAATGACCTACTCAGCAAAGACTTTTAGATTTTTTGAATATCTTTTGTGTACTTTGGGGAAACACTTAAAATGATAGCCTTCCTATTCCATGATAATGTTCTATGAAAAATGTAACTGGTTGAAACACAAAGAGTGTCCATCAACGCTAAACTACCCACCACAGAAAATCAAAATTCCTACATTCACTTCTGAAATGTTTACTATTAGCCTCACAAACAGGGAGCAGCCTTTGCTGTTACAGGAGGTGGAAACACTGCTTTTTGGAGAAGGGCTGGTATAGAGACAGCAAAGGGGTTGGGATGCGGAAGGATGAGGAGCTGGCCTTCCCTAAGCACGGCCTGGTGACATTCTCCTGAACTCCTAGGGACACAAGGGAAGTCCAGGGTGGGGCACAGGCATGGCTGACGCTGCAGCTGCTATAGGAAGGAGTGGGGAGAAAGTTTAGAGGGAACCTTCAAGTCCAGGTTTGGGACCAAAGCCACTGCCTAGGTACCTCGCCTTTGCCTGAGGTCGTCTGTTCTGATACCTGATTCATATCAAGAAGCAAATTTTCCTAAACCACAGAACACAGACTGCAAATGTTATCAACTTCCTCTTAAGAATGTAAAACAGAAAACAATGAGGAGGGCAGGAAAAGGTCAGTTGTGAGGAGAAGAATGTAGAATATTTGTTGGAGGTTTAGTCATTGTAGTTTGTATAGAGTAACTATTAGAGGTATAGATGAAATATGGCTAAGGGAAATAGAATATTTGACATAAGTTAAATTCTCCAACAATTCAAAGCCAATTTTAAAAAGGAATGAATGCTCATGTTAAAGAATATTCTAATACTAGCAGCAAATTCCCTACAATTCTATATTATGTCTAAATTTTGTTTAATCACTAAGGAACATTGAGGTTATTTTGAAAATGCACATATTACCTGTCCTTTTCCACAACAACAGGAGTAGGATAGGACTGGTTACTTTTATTGCCAGTGCCCAACTGGCCATAAGAATTTGCACCCCAAGCATATACTTGGCCTTCATCTGTTAATACTAATGTGTGTGCGTAGCCACAGGCAACCTGAAAGAGAAAAACCAAATCCACTCAGGCCTGCAAATAGAGAGAAATATGCTTTCACAGAATAGGTTAAGAATAAAAAAAAAAAAGGGAAGAGGCAGCCTCGAAGAGAGCAAGCATTAAGTTAACAAATCTCTCCATCTCTCCAGAGCCAGCTTAGTTCCAATGCGGCCAAAATTACAGTAAGCTCACCCTGAGTCCTTTAGTGACATGAGGCCAGTATTTACCTTCAATGTGGCATTCATTATGCTCACAGAGACCAAGGGGGTGAAGTTAATAAGCAACAGACACTTTCACTTTTTAAGAAGAATTTTCTTCTTTTATTATAAAAGTTAACATGTTCAATGTGAAAAAAGTATAAGTATGAAAGTAATCTCAAGCTTGACATTTTCTTGAGTTATATAAAGATATGCAGATAGCTTTTTTAAATGATCATATTGTATAAGCAGTTCTTTATCTTTTTTTACTTAACATTACATAGAGTACTATTCTTAAATCATAAAAACCCCTTGTAAACATATCTTCTCCACTAATTCTGTAAGTGACTTTTCTCTTTGGTTCCTTAGAATGGAGTAGAATTAGAGATCAAAGGGTCTGAATATTTTTAAGCCTCTTGATATATACTTTCAAAATTTCCTTGGAAAAGATTTTAACAATTTATATTCCAACAGCTGTGTAAGAGAGTGCCCTAGAAATTTAAATTTTCTAATGAATAACTATAACTTAATTCAAGGAAATAGAGCTTAAACCTTTACTTCAATGAAGATATCCAAGCAGCTAAACTTTTCATCCTGCTATAGAAACTGTTTTTAATACATTCGTATCTTTGCCACTAAAGACTTAAAAACCAATAGTAGACATACCCGCTGGACACGAACACCTTGCAAAGCTAGTCTACAGGGGGTCGACTGGTTGCCACTACTGCCAAGTCCAAGCTGCCCATTTCCATTGTAACCCCAGACATAAACCTGAGAGAAAATGAGAGACTCAATGCAAACAAAAGACAGAAAGTTCTCTGTGTGAGAAACATGCCATGTTGGTATGACACTGAAAAGGCAAACAGTTTTCTTAAGTGAAATATGAAATAACCTTCTTACCTCCCCATTGTCCACCACCGCCATGGAGCACATCTGCCCACACGCTATGTTCACAACTACTTTATTCTGTAAGCCGCTAGTGACTCTTCGAGGGATCGGCTGATTAGCTGTTGATCCAGATCCTACCTGCCCAGAGTTATTATAACCCCAGGCAAATACCTATTGGAACGAAGAGATCAATTAATGCAATATACTAATTTATAAAGTATCCCAATTATACACTAACATATTTGTATGGCACCTCATCTTTGCTCTCAAAGTGGTTGCTATCCATAAACTGTCACAACACAGGCAGGGAAGTTTTGGTAAAATTCATTCTTTCAAAATGTATTAATTTATAAAATTAGGTTATTGGTGTTATCCATACAAACAGTAGTAATTATTACCAAGTATCATATAATATTTATAATAATATCTACTTTGCACCAGCCATCTTTTCCAGCATTTGGAAATTTTTCTTTTTGTAAATAACCCCTTTGAATATAGCAATACAAAATTTTGCAGTAACAGACATTTTTTATTGCATGAAGGTAAAAAATAATATAAACACCGTGACTACGAGTAGCTAACAAGAATAAAACTAAATTTGAGGGAGGTGGTCATTTTAATTAAATGATCATCCTTCTAGGATTGCTATAGGAATCTATATAATTTTACTGAAAAAAAAATCAATGACATTTATGCTGACTATTCTTACTTCTCCATCAGATGTTAGCACCAAAGAATGGTAAGACCCACAGGCAACTTCAATCACTTGTTTGTTGGACAAATTAGTAGAGATATGACAGGGCACCAAACCATGATTAGTTGTCCCATTGCCCAGCTGGCTATAAGCATTATGACCCCAGGTAAAGACTTCTCCTTCTAAAAAAATAAAAACAAAACACAAATATAATTAGCTTTCAAAATATCTGCTTCATCATATGGAAATACATAGTGCACTTCTACAAGTGAAACTAAAAATTAAGTTGCAAAAGCGAATCAACTTCCCTATTCTACCAAACTCATTCTGTAAAAATATACATTTGAAAATATAAACTACATTCTACTTCAAAGCAACAAGATGAAATTTAAATAAATGCAATTATAATAGCTGGAAGATAGGCTCTTAATAAATGGCAGAAAAAAGGCTGCTTTTAATAGAATCAATAGAAAAAAAGCATTAGATTGAAAGTAAAAAAATTTAACTTCCTTATCTATAAAATGAACACCAAGTTATTTTTAATCTTTGTTATTATATCACTTATTGCACAATATAATACACATTCATAAACATTCATAAAATATATATGCACAATTTCATAAATAATTATAAAACACACATACCCATGTGCTACCATTCAGGTGAGAAAATATAACCTTTGATCACTCCCAAAGCCCTCCACATACAAATCCTGAATAACAAAATTGTTTGTCCTGTTTTTAAACTTTAAAGAAATGAAATCATACAGTATATACTTGTTTCATCTATATTTTCTACCATATTGTCTCTTTGTGCTACATTCCAGATAATTATTTCTGATCTATCTTCTAGTCTATTAATTTTGTCTTTTGCTGTGTCCAAACTGCAGCTTAAATTGTCTACTGAGTTTTTCATTTGGATAATTATACTGTACATCTAGTTCTTTTTCAAATCTTTTATGATCTCTGCAGGTAGCTTAGAGCTCATTTTTTATTCTTTCAAACAACAAATTCTTTCAAGCCATCTTATCACTGGTATCTGGTAATTCTAATATCTGATATTTAGTAGTCAGTTTTTGCTGGCTTTTTTGCTGGTTCTCCTTCATGCTGCCTGTTTCCTTATGTACCTTGTTGCCTTTGACTATATGCTGCTAATTGCGATTGGAAAATTATTTTTCAATGGCATCATACTCCCTCAGGCCCAGAATGAAGGTGCCTTCCTAAAGAAAGGATTTACATCAACTTCAGAAAGTACTTAAAGGTATCTCTTTAATAAATTCAAGACTTAAGATTTCTTGGACCATCCAGTCTGATGTGAATACAAATCTATGGTTACAATTTCTCAGGGAGAGGTTTTCTTTCTTTTTTTCCTTCCTAATTTGCTCAGAGCCAAGGAATTCTTTAGTTCGGTCCTGTAAGATGGAAGAACTGGCTCATCCTTGCCCTGAGAGTGTAGCCCTCTGTGGTCTCAGCCTAATGTGTTGACTTATGACCCCTTCACCTCATGAATACATTAGACCACAACTCCATTCAAGTGGACAGGCAGATGTCTTTAAGGCCAAATTGGCTTCAAGTTCTGCTCTGACTTCTTAGTTCACACGTTCTCCTAAATCTGATCTAATAATTCCTTTTTGCCTTGTCAGTGCTTTGATGCCTCATGAAAAATATTTTTAATATTTTTAATAGTTGTTTTCAGTGAAGAAATTATCTAAATAATTTAGCCTGCTATTACTGGCAACCAATAATCCCTAAAGGTTGTTTTTTTTAATGTGAAATAAGCACATAAAAGAATAGAAAATTTATTTTCGGTTTAAAGAATACTAGTACTAACAAAATGAATACCTAGCTTAAGAAAAACTCTAACTTATGTTTTAATTATAATGTCTTATTAGTCTGAATTCATGAAATAGCCACAAGAATACTTAATTCCTTATATTACTAACTACAGTCATCAGTCACTAACATAAGAATCACAGAATGCTAAGAGTTGGAGTGGATGCTGGAATCTGGCTTTAGTCTTTTAGTTCATAGATCAGGAATCTCAAATTCAAAGTCTAGAGCAGTGGTTCTCAACCTTCTGGCCCTTTAAATACATTTCCTCATGTTGTGTCCCAACCATAAAATTATTTTCATTGCTACTTCATAACTGTAATGTTGCTACTGTTATGAATCGTAATGTAAATATCTGATATGCAAGATGGTCTTAGGCGACCCCTGTGAAAGGGTCATTCAACCACCAAAGGGGTTGCGACCCACAGGTTGAGAACCGCTGGTTTAGAGTGAGTTCACCATTTTAATGCAAAATAATTATACTTGTAAAGTGTAAACAAAAGGGGCTTACTGGGCTTAACTGCCATTCTTATATCTAAAGTGCCAATAATTGCTAGATTCCACCTGCTCCATTACTTTATTCCGATATTCAGATATGTTCATATTTTATGTTGTCCAAAGCATAGTCAAGTTCACAAGGCAGACCAGAAACTCTTGTCTAATCAAAAAGTATGTTCTCTGTTTAGGGGATGGTCCTACTCTTGTTTTTCAATAAATAAAGCAAGGGCTAAAATTCTACACTGTGTTCCTAGGTTACCTGTTGTCGCAAGAACAATATGTGGACCACTCCCATAGCTGAGGCAGGCTATCTTTTTGCCACTTAAAGAATCCAGTCTCCGAGGTTCAATGGTGCTCTGGACGTCACCTAAGCCCAAACAGCCACAGCAGTTTGTGCCAAGTACAAAAACCTGTGGGGAAAACCACTGTTAGTTCAAGCAGTTCTACTTCTGACAAACCTACAATTACCTTCATACAGGCATAGTCCTCCTAAAACAAAACTGCTTTATTATATAATAAATACGAATCTATTCTCTGTACTTTTTTTTAACCTTAATTCCTTAGTTCCCCCAAGGTCTTCAGTCTAGTAAATTTATTACTGAAAATAGAAGTGGTTGAATTTTTTCTTCAAAATTACCTCATCATTCACTGTAGTATATAAAACTTCATTGCCAGCACTTCCAAAGACACAGGCCTGACGAATTAACTGCAGCTCTTCCTCAGAACAAAGGGAGAAAATTGGCCACTTCCCCACATCTAACATCTTCAGAGATGACGGAGTGGCCTGTACTGGCTGAAAAGGAAAATATATGTGTGTGTGTGTGTGTATATATATATATATATATAAAGAGAGAGAGAGAGAGAGAGAGAGAGAGAGACTATTCGTTTAAAAATTAAATTTCTTTGCCCCTTTTATTTCTGTAGAAGAGCAGGCCTGGTTTCATGAGGAACAAGTTCTTTCTATTTTTGAGATGCTCTCACTGCTGTGGAAATTGCCTGTACAAGCTCAGGTGCTTCAGTACTGCTCTCACTGCAGCCGAGAGCCAGAAGCTCTGGACAGAATCAGATGTCACCTACTAATTTTCATCAAGGACATGCGTGTGCCGAGCCAGCTCAGCCAAGGGTTCACAAGCCTGAGTGAGGGCGGCGAATGGATGAAGAAATGACAGAGAGAATAAGCCGGGTTTAGGTGGATCTTCCTGTGCCTGGCTGAGGCCACAGAGAGAGATCCAGAGGCAAGCTGAGCCTTTATTTTATAGCCAGAGGTAAACAAGGTATTCGGTCACCATAGTTACAATGATCTTGTGAGTTTCACTTGTTTTGGCAGCACTGGCTACATCTCCCACAGCCCATTAGCTACCTAGGAAGGATCTAGGGAGCGTCATAAGGTCAAGCCTAATTATGATAAGAGGACTGTGCCCTCTAAGCTGGGACTTGTTTGTGGCTTTGCTAACGGGTCAGATCGAGGCTTAACCCTATAGCCGCTCCCTACATCTCACCCTTTTTTTATTTTTACGCTACTATAATGAAAGTAAAACTTAAGCAACAAGAACAAAACTCTGGCTATTAAAACAATTACAAAACAATGCCAATGCAAAACCCAAACTACAGACATGTTAACATTTTAAAAGTTAAACATAAAGCTCTGGCTATTAACAAAACAATGCCAATGTGTTAACATTTTTAAAACTAGTAAGAATAACAAAACAATGCCAATGCAAAACAGCAATAACTAAATGAGAGTTCCTTTTGCTGATTTACTCAGAGTCCTTGGACTTGGCTGCGCAAGACTTTGCAGAAGACTGGCAGCTAACCAATGCTAGCATAGCCAGAAACATGATTGAGGGAGTAGCTTCCACATCTTGTTTTTCTACCATCTTCTGGGCCTCAGTTGTTAACTTCTTCAGCTGACCCCATGTTGGCACTTCAGTCCCTTGCATAGCCTTCCTTTTCTTCTTTTTTCCACTTTGCTGTCATCGGGGCAACTCTCAGTCTTTTGAATGATGGGACAAGAGCTTCTCTGGGTCCATTGTGGTAACACACTTAACGCTCTGGTACCCAAACTGGCTGCACTGCTCTTTCTGGAAAGATACAAACACAACCTCTTCCCCACATCATTACTGAATCTGGTTAAATTCTTATCAGGAGGCCCAATGCCTTTTGGCCACTGTACAACCCTCTGCATTGTAATTCACAAAATTTTAACACATAACATTCTTCAATTTAACACACAACATTCTTCTCCCCCCTTTTTTGTTTTTATAGTTTCATTTTAAGAGTAGGATTGGCTCTTTCTGCTATTGTCTGAGTCCTGATCTATCACCCCAGGAAAAACTTGCCAATCCTGTGCTTCCCAGGGTGGCATGATAAAGGTTTACTGAGCCGGCTGGAAAGGCTGCAGTGGGGTTAAGGATAAGGACTCTACTGCCTGGTGGGACCTGAAGTTTCCCTGCCTAAGGGGTATTAAATTATCAACATCAGTCATTTACCCAATTGCTTTCCTCTCCTGCATCCTGAACATAGTCCAGGCTGCTTGTTTCCACTCCCTGTAGCCCTTTGACTTTCATTTCTAGCTGCTTCTTTAGGGGGTAAAAGGAGAGGCTTATGAGCAACAGTAAGCTCTCCAAATGTTTGCACCAAACCACCATCATCCCAAACCTGCCGGCACTGTTCCCTTGCTTCCTCCAATCCTCGTTCATATTTGGGAGGAAGCTCATCGTCCGGAGGGCTCTCTTCCACAGAAGCTGCAGCCCCAGGGACTGGAGGAGGCAGCAGAGGCGCCGATGGTACAGGTGGAGTCAGAAGCCTCTGGTAGCCTTCCCCCATCTGTCTTGATTCCCCTGCCACATTCATCCATTACCTTTCTGGAGTAGGCTCTAGGCAGTCCCGAATCAGGGACCACAGACTGAAAGCAGAGGCAGGCATTTCTTCTGGACCTTCAGCTATATAATGATCTTTAAGTTGTTTTCCTACCTTCTCCCATGCCTCTATATTTAGCTCTCCTTCCTCAGAAAACCATGGGCAGATTTTATCACAAAACCCAACAACTTGAAAAGCTGTTCATACCTCACAGAATAGCCCCGTGCTTGGAGCATAGCCTTAAGATGGATACGTATAAATTCTTTTCCTGTGATCCTGAATTTCCCATGTTTTACACCTAGTTATAGCACTGAACTTCGCTCCTTACCTTCCTTCTTGTTTTCTGCACGTGCTTCACTGGAGCATTCTTTCACCTGACAACTGAAGTTCCCCCGAACTCAGGCCCCGCATTGGGTGCCACATGTGCCGAGCCAGCTCAGCCAAGGGTTCGAAAGCCTGAGTGATGGCGGCGAAAGGATGAAGAAGTGACAAAGAGAATAAGCTGGGTCTAGGTGGATCTTCCTGTGCCTGGCTGAGGAAACAAGCTGAGCCTTTATTTTATAGCCAGAGGTAAACAAGGTATTCTGTCAGAAGAGTTACAATGATCTTGTGAGTTTCACTTGTTTTGACAGCACTTGCTATACCTCCCACAGCCCATTAGCTTCCCAGATAAGATCTAGGGAGTGTCATAAGGTCAAGCCTAATTATGCTAAAAGGACTGTGCCCTCTAAGCTGGGACTTGTTTGTGGTTTTGCCAACAGGTCAGTCCGAGGCTTAACCCTATAGCCATGCCCTACACACCGGAATCATCCAAAGCCAAACGTTGGGAGCTGAATGTCTAGCCATCACTTTAAGTGTTGGCTGTGTCTTAAACATAGCTCTGGAAACCAGGCTGGTTGTAAAAGCAGGAGGGTAAGGGGGAGAGGTAGGACTGCTATTTCATTAGCTGCCCAAGTCTTAACAAAACAAGTCCTTGGAAAAGAACAACACTGAAAGTGATACCAAGCAAACGGTCCAGGAATTTCCGGTCAGGGGCCAGTTCTGACCTTCAGTTTAAACAGCTGGTGGGTTCCCTCACCCCCCACTCAGGTTTGGGTATTGGTAGGAAGAAACACTCAGAAAGTGTATGTATTCATTTGCTAGCGCTACTATAACGAAGTACCACAAATGGAGTGACTTGACAACAGAAATTTATTTCTAACAGTTCTGGAGGCTGGAAAGTCCAAGAGCAAGACACCAGCACAGTCATGTTCCTGGTTCATTGCTGGTGGTTCTCACATGGTGGAAGGTGCTGGGGATCTCTCTAGAGCCCCTTCTAGAAAGGCACTAATCTCAATCATGAGTGTTCCACCCGTGACTTAAGCACCTCCCACTTCCTAATACCATCACCTTTGGAAGTTAGGATTTCAACATATGGGGTGGCAGGGCAACAACAGTGATACCTTCTGAGAAATGTATTGTTAGGCAATTTTGTCATCATGTGAACATCATAGAGTGCACTTAGACAAACCGAGGTGATTATAGGTGCTATGTACCTAGGCTATATAGTATGCCCAGTGGTCGGCAAACTCATTAGTCAACAGAGCCAAATATCAACAGTACTTCTTCAAAATAGACTCGCCCAGGCCGAAAACCGACTTCTGCGCATGGGCCACAAAGTTTCAATCTCACTGTATGCGCGCCCGCATGTGGTATTTTGTGGAAGAGCCACACTCAAGGGGCCAAAGAGCCGCATGTGGCTCGTGAGCCACAGTTTGCCGACCATGGGTATAGCCTATTGCTCCTAGGCTGCAAGCCTGTATACATGTTATGTACTAAATACTGTAGGCAATTGTAATGCATTGCACTACAATGTTACAATGTCACTAGGCAATAGGAATTTTTGAGGTCCATTATAATCTTACTAAAGGCCCGGTGCATGAAAACTTGTGCACTGGGGGGGTCCCTCAGCCCGGCCTACCCCCTCTCACAGTCCAGGAGCCCTCAGGGGATGTCCTACTGATAGCATAGGCCACAGTCTGGCCTCCCTCTGTGGGAGGCGACCACCTATCAGGGGAAGGCGCCGCCCTCATCACACCACTGCTGCTGCCACTGCAGGCCGCCTCGGCTGCGAGGTCTGACCGGGCCTAGCAACCACCAGGGCTCACGGCTGCCTGAGCCCATGGCTGCCTGAGTCCTGGGCCTCGCAGCCACTGCCATGGCTGCCTGCCCTCAGCCCTCGCCACCAGCACCATGGCTGCCTGCCTTCGGCCCTCGCAGCCACTGCGGCTTTGTCCGGAAGACATCTGCTCTAATTAGCATATTGCCCTTTTATTAGTATAGATAAGACCACCATCCTTATGTGAACTTTCATTGACCAAAAAACATGGTTATGTGGCACATGACTGTAAACTCAAAACAGCACACGTTTAGTTCATGAGCATCTGCACTCATGATGAGAAAAGAGCATTCAAGGTGGACATTATAAAGCTATTTTGAAGAGAGCTTTTATTGATTTGCTATACTGAAAACACTTTTACTTATGTACTTTTCAAATTTCAATATTTTTGTAGATTACAATAAGATGCTAAAAAGCCAATATGCCTGTCAAATGATATGTTTGGCCATTTCCCTCAATAATCATCATACTCTTGTCCTGGCGGGTTGCTCAGTAGGTTGGAGCATAAAAAGGTTGTGGGTTCAATTCCTGGTCAGGGTGCATACCTAGGTTGTGGGTTCAACCTGAATGAGGTGCATACAGGAGGCAACCGATCAATGTTCCTCTCTCTCTCTCTCTGACCCTCTTCCCTTTCTCTCTCTCTCTCTCTCTCTCTCTCTCTCTCTCTCTCTCTCTCAAATCAATAAACATATCCTCAGGTAAGGATTAAAATCCTATATAATAAAGAAGTAATATGCAAACTGACCATCATGCCCTCACACAAGATGGCCAGCAGG